TACCTGGTATAAATGAAGGAAGCAGAGCTAGGAGTGTTGGTGATGCCTAGTATAAATGAAGGAAGCAGAGCTAGGAGTGTTGGTGATGCCTGGTATAAATGAAGGAAGCAGAGCTAGGAGTGTTGGTGATGCCTGGTATAAATGAAGGAAGCAGAGCTAGGAGTGTTGGTGATGCCTGGTATAAATGAAGGAAGCAGAGCTAGGAGTGTTGGTGATGCCTAGTATAAATGAAGGAAGCAGAGCTAGGAGTGTTGGTGATGCCTGGTATAAATGAAGGAAGCAGAGCTAGGAGTGTTGGTGATGCCTGGTATAAATGAAGGAAGCAGAGCTAGGAGTGTTGGTGATGCCTGGTATAAATGAAGGAAGCAGAGCTAGGAGTGTTGGTGATGCCTGGTATAAATGAAGGAAGCAGAGCTAGGAGTGTTGGTGTTGCCTGGTATAAATGAAGGAAGCAAGCAGAGCTAGGAGTGTTGGTGTTGCCTGATATAAATGAAGGAAGCAGAGCTAGGAGTGTTGGTGTTACCTGGTATAAATGAAGGAAGCAGAGCTAGGAGTGTTGGTGATGCCTAGTATAAATGAAGGAAGCAGAGCTAGGAGTGTTGGTGATGCCTGGTATAAATGAAGGAAGCAGAGCTAGGAGTGTTGGTGATGCCTGGTATAAATGAAGGAAGCAGAGCTAGGAGTGTTGGTGATGCCTGGTATAAATGAAGGAAGCAGAGCTAGGAGTGTTGGTGATGCCTGGTATAAATGAAGGAAGCAGAGCTAGGAGTGTTGGTGATGCCTGGTATAAATGAAGGAAGCAGAGCTAGGAGTGTTGGTGATGCCTGGTATAAATGAAGGAAGCAGAGCTAGGAGTGTTGGTGATGCCTGGTATAAATGAAGGAAGCAGAGCTAGGAGTGTTGGTGATGCCTGGTATAAATGAAGGAAGCAGAGCTAGGAGTGTTGGTGATGCCTGGTATAAATGAAGGAAGCAGAGCTAGGAGTGTTGGTGATGCCTGGTATAAATGAAGGAAGCACAGCTAGGAGTGTTGGTGATGCCTGGTATAAATGAAGGGAGGGACTGAATAACTCTGGTTCCTTCTCACTTCACGATTATCTCTTAAGTGTATGTGTATTATTATTATAAGTATCACTAAACGCTAAACCCATAAGGGTCATAACCAGTGTAACTATATCACACTTGCTTTTGCTTAACCTGTTATTCTTATACCTGGAGTTTACCTGGAGAGAGTTCCGAGGGTCAACCCCCCCGCGGCCCGGTCTGTGACCAGGCCTCCTGGTGGATCAGAGCCTGATCAACCGGGCTGTTGCTGCTGGCTGCACGCAAACCAACGTACGAGCCACAGCCCGGCTGGTCAGGAACTGACTTTAGGTGCTTGTCCAGTGCCAGCTTGAAGACTGCCAGGGGTCTGTTGGTAATCCCCCTTATGTATGCTGGGAGGCAGTTGAACAGTCTCGGGCCCCTGACACTTATTGTATGGTCTCTTAACATGCTAGTGACACCCCTGCGTTTCATTGGGGGGATGTTGCATCGTCTGCCAAGTCTTTTGTTTTCGTAGTGAGTGATTTTCGTGTGCAAGTTCGGTACTAGTCCCTCTAGGATTTTCCAGGTGTATATAATCATGTATCTCTCCCTCCTGCGTTCCAGGGAATACAGGTTCAGGAACCTCAAGCGCTCCCAGTAACTGAGGTGTTTTATCTCCGTTTTGCGCGCCGTGAAGGTTCTCTGTACATTTTCTAGGTCAGCAATTTCACCTGCCTTGAAAGGTGCTGTTAGTGTGCAGCAATATTCCAGCCTAGATAGAACAAGTGACCTGAAGAGTGTCATCATGGGCTTGGCCTCCCTAGTTTTGAAGGTTCTCATTATCCATCCTGTCATTTTTCTAGCAGATGCGATTGATACAATGTTATGGTCCTTGAAGGTGAGATCCTCCGATATGATCACTCCCAGGTCTTATAGGTAGTAATTTCTGCTGTGTTGGAGTCCAGTATATTGAATATTGTCCAGGTATAGATTATAAAGCATCTTTCTGGCCTACATTCCAGGAGGTAAAGTCTAAAGCATTTTAGGTGTTCAGAATGACTTAGATGGCTGAACTAATATGGACAGCGAAAGTTCTCTGCATATTCTCCAGGTCCGTAATTTCACCCGCCTTGAATGGGACTGTTAGTATTGCACTCTAGCGTGTACAGTTACTCTGAAGATTTTCACCATTATTTTAGCATCTGCTATTGTCAAAGATTTTGTTGCCCATCTAGTCACTTTTCCTTGCAGTACTGACAGCAATATAATGTTCCGTGAAGCTAGTTCTATACGTTTCTCTTCTCTCTTATTGAGTGGAGTGTGTGTGTGCTCCATTCACGGTTCCTTCTCTTAAATTTCTCCCAACAGGGAGATTTGGCTTACGTTAATTCGGAGATTTGTTATGTATACAGTAGACGCCACTCGTATAATTTCTAGCAATGTCTACAATGGAGGATACATACAGTACTATGATTAATGTCTCTGTCAGCGTTTAAGATGAGAATAAAACAGAGAATTGGATGGGAAAACGCTGTTTCACGTAATGAGAATTTTGTGCTGAGGTAGCCTCGGGTTGCATGTTGTTCATGGCTGCTTTGTTGGTCCGGGTTGTAAGAAACTTTATCAAGGAGCTGTCATAACCTGATCGCACTTGCTAAAAACTTTTGCAAAGTCTGTGTATATTAAATATTCATTTTGGCTTCCAGAGCATTCACAGCTTTGTTGTAAACGCTCAGTAACTATGAGAGAGAGGAGCGACGGGTTGTAAAACACTGATGCTCTTTCTTATAACTCCCACTCCCCCAGCCCGGCCCGGGGCCAGGTTTGTGTTATAACTCCCACTCCCCCAGCCCGGCCCGGGGCCAGGTTTGTGTTATAACTCCCACTCCCACCAGCCCGGCCCGGGGCCAGGTTTGTGTTATAACTCCCACTCCCCCAGCCCGGCCCGGGGCCAGGTTTGTGTTATAACTCCCACTCCCCCAGCCCGGCCCGGGGCCAGGTTTGTGTTATAACTCCCACTCCCCCAGCCCGGCCCGGGGCCAGGCTTGTGTTATAACTCCCACTCCCCCAGCCCGGCCCAGGGCCAGGCTTACCTGGAGTTTACCTGGAGAGAGTTCCGGGGGTCAACGCCCCCGCGGCCCGGTCTGTGACCAGGCCTCCTGGTGGATCAGAGCCTGATCAACCAGGCTGTTGCTGCTGGCTGCACGCAAACCAACATACGAGTCACAGCCCGGCTGATCAGGAGCTTGTGTGACATCACTATCAAAAATTATTTAAATTTATTCTGTAGTCAACATTGTGGAGTGACGTTATATCAGAGGTTTTAAGTAACACTGCGAAGAAAAATATTTTGCCTGTCTCAGTAGCATATTTAAGAGGCACCAAAGTTCCCACGTCTTCTAGTAACATGTTCATTTTCCCAATATAATCCACCTTATCCATAATTACTATCACATTTGCCTTGTTTCGTAAGGTGAAGTCCAGGATCTTTCCTTAATTCATGGTATAACTTAACAAATATTTGAGGACAACTGTGTTGCAGAGCTTCGCTCAGATCTCTGCAACACAGTTGTCCTCAAAGATTAGCTAAGTTATACCATGAATTAAGGAAAGATCCTGGACTTCACCTTACGAAACAAAGCAAATGTGATAGTAATTATGGATAAGGTGGATTATATTGGGAACATAAATGTCATTAGAAGACGTAGGAACTTACGTTCCTCATAAGGAAATTTTTTTTTTTTTTTTTGCCATTTTTGATGGAAATAAAGTTGGACGAAGCTGAGCCTACGGCTGAGGACACAGGCAGGCTATCAATGGCGTCTTTCGTGTCAAACGGAGTTTGGGTTACGTACGAAATTTTGGAGATGCTGGCGGAATTTACAGTATCATCCACGAAAAATGTATTTGGGGACTTAATTTTTATAGTGAATAACGAGTGACTGAACACAGACTGACATCGTAGCTCCAGTGATGCATAAGTGACATTGTTATTAGTTAAGTTGCATCTGAGATAAGCACAGACACAATAATACATCGATGTGAAGTTTGAGAAAAACAACGCAAATGCAACTCATGTGACATTTTATTGTGGCAACGTTTCGCTCTCCTGGAGCTTTGGTAACGGCTTGATAAAGCTCCTGGAGAGCGAAACGTTGCCACAATAAAATATCACATTAGTTGCACTTGTGTCCTTTTACTTAACATATTGTCGGTAATTATACCAATATTAATGCTATGGTAATTTTTGTCTTATTTTCAATGACGATTCCCCCTCCCCCCTCCCCGTTCCCCCTCCCCCTCCCCCCCCTCTCTCTCTCTCTCTCTCTCTCTCTCTCTCTCTCTCTCTCTCTCTCTCTCTCTCTCTCTCTCTCTCTCTCTCTCTTCTCTCTCTCTCTCTCTCTCTCTCTCTCTCTCTCTCTCTCTCTCTCTCTCTCTCTCTCTCTCTCTCTCTCCAAGTCGTTACATATTAAAATTTAGTTCACTGTTTTCCATTTCTCAAACCAGTATTTTTTCCGTTCTTTTGTTAAACAAGAGATTTTGGATTCTGTTGTCCTGAGTACTGAGTTTACTGGGCAGCATCACTCGTGCTGTGAGTGAATGTACTAGCCAGTCAGAGGCTTTAATAGTACTGGGCAGCATCACTCATGCTCTGAGTGAATGTACTAGCCAGTTAGAGACGTTAACAGTATAGTGGTGATATCAATCCCATCTTTGATTATTTTAACCTTCCTGTATCACTACCCTAATATCAATATCAAATAATTATCAGTCCTGTATTTTTTTCTTCTGTATAATGCTGCGAATTATACAGAAGAATTTACAATATAACATAAGAGATGGGCTCTTCTGAAGACCTTGGTTGACATGCTAGGCAGGTCCCTCTCAAACACAAACCCTCTCACTAACATATTCTCCAGCCCATTACTCTTCAGTGGTGCGCACCACCACCTGGCTGCTTCAGGAGTCACGTACCTGTGAGCTCGTCTGAGTCGACCTTCCTGAAGACGAGGCAGACGATGGCTTGGGCGGCGGGCAACCCCCACGCCGCTACGTGGAACCAGGAGGAGTGTCGTAAGATCTGCTCATGGCTCCAGCCTCTCCAGGCTCTCAGCAGCCATGAAACACACAGCATCACCCACCTGAAATACAAGAAGACACACTTTTAGAATCTTGCAATATATATATATATATATATATATATATATATATATATATATATATATATATATATATATATATATATATATATACACACTCTATGTACCCTGCAACACAAGCAAATAAATGCCATGTTAGGAGCATTTACAGAAACACACACAAGGGATGTTTTGGATGGAGAGATGAAGATAGAAAACTGTAACATGCATAGATGTGATAGAATTAATAGGTCACAGGGAGGAGGAAGACTATATGGAACAAACTATCGGTTGCACAGAACTGCTGAACTCTGCGAATGATGCAGTAGAAATCCTCGGCATTAAAGCTGAAAACATGAATTTGGTAATTATCCTGGTATACAAACCACCATCAGCAACTGCTGAGGAATTCACAGATCAGTTAAGGAAGATAGATAGCTGTCTGAATAGGCTAGAAAATCCCACACCAAATATTATACTCCTCAGAGATTTTAATCTCCCTCATGTAAAATGGAAGATGACACAATGTTATACCAGAAATATCTCCGGGAAGCACCGAGGCTCAACAGGTACATACCAGGAACTGGTGAAGCTTTGTGAAGAGTACTCATTGAACCAATTTATAATTGATCCCACTAGAAATGTAAATATCCTGGATTTGATATTCACCAACAACGAGGAACTGATCAGAGACATAACAGTTACAAAACCTATATACTCTGATCACAACATCATAGAAGTTCAAACGAGTATTAACTCCGGGTTATGGAACTGCATCACTAATGTTAGAGACGGGATGTTCAGTAAGTTTAATTTTAACAACCATAGAATTGACTGGAAAAAAATAAACCAAGAACTATCAGACACCCTGGGAATCAGACATGAACACCCTAAATCCCCACCAGTGCGTGAAGAAGCCGAGTATAAAACCATACAAGGTCTGTAATAAACACGTACCACTGAGGAAACACACAAGATCAGATATAGAGAGCGTAGGAGATGATATAGAAGAAAACGAGTTACTGAATTGCTTAAAAACACATATATGCTGCAACAGAGGAAAGACGGTCTTAGTCGAGAGATCACTGAATTAGAGCAAAAACTTAGAATGTCATATCTAACAAAAGAAGTGCAAAGGGTCATACAGGATATTGCAAGAAACCCACAATATTTCTATTCCTACGCAAAATCCAAGCTAAGAACTACCTGTATAACTGGACCACTACTGAGGAGACTTGTATACTGACGATGAACAGGAAATGAGTGAAATCCTAAAAGAACAGTATGAGTCGGTGTTCAGCAACCCACTTAATGACAGCAAGGTAGAAAATGCAGAAATATTTTTCACTCCAGCAGAAGGCCGCACAGACCAACTAACTGACATTAGTACAAATCCCATAGATTTCGAAAAAGAAATGGACAACATGCCCACTCACTCAGCACCTGGACCAGATTCATGGAATGTTCTGTTTATAAAGAAGTGTAAAGTACCACTAGCACGAGCTCTCAGTATTGTTCGGAGAAAGAGCTTAGATGTAGGTGAAATACCGGAGGTCTTAAAGAGTGCAGACATAGCTCCTTTGCACAAGGGAGGTAGTAGAGCACTAGTTGAAAATTACAGACCAGTAGCCCTAGCCTCTCACATCATAAAAATCTTCGAAAGAGTGATGAGACGGCAGATTACAAATTTCATGGACCAACATAACCCGAACCAGCATGGTTTTAGAGCAGGACGATCATGTCTGTCACAACTGCTGAACCATTATGACAGAATTATATAGGCATTGGAAGGCGACCAAAACGCAGATGTGATTTACACAGATTTTGCAAAGATGTTTGACAAATGCGATCATGGAGTGATAGCGCACAAAATGAAAGCCATGGGCATTACGGGGAAGGTAGACAGATGAATTTTCGATTTTCGGGTTCCTAACACACAGAACACAAAAAGTAGTAATAAACAGAGCAAAATCCAGCATCAGCGAGGTTAGAAGCTCAGTTTCCCAAGGTACCGTGCTGGCACCTCTGCTGTTTCTCATTCTCATAGCAGACATGTATAAAAACACCCGTCACAGTTTTATATCATTTGTAGATGATACTCAAATAAGCATGAAGCCATGTTGGTAGAAGACACTGAAAAATTACAGGAGAGCATAAGCAGTATTTTCCTGTGGGCAGTGGAGAATGGTTCAGTGGTGATAAGTCCCAGTTGCTTACGTATGGAAAGAATGAAGAACTTAAGAGGATCACCAAACAGAAGGAAAGTAACACGTGAAAGACTTGGGAATAATTATGTCATCTGATCTTTCTTGCAAAGAACATAAGACAAAGATCACGACAGCCAGAAGGATGACAGGGTCGGTACTGAGAACTTTCAAAATAAGGAAAATAATGCCGATGGTGACACTCTTCAAACCTCTTCTGTTTGGAATATTGCTCAGTGCTGACGGCCCCGTTCAAAGCAGGAAAAATATCAGAGCTGGAACAAATACAGAGATCGTTTACGGCTCACATTGAGCCAGTAAAGCATTTAAATTACTGGGAACGCCTTAAAGTCTTGAACATGTACTCAATGGAGAGGAGGAGAGAGAGATACATGATAATATATACATGGAAAGTACTCGAGGACCTGGTCCCAAATTTGCACTGCCATAACAACATAATGGTGCAACATACTGGAGTGAGAGATATGGGAGGAAGTGTAAAATAAACTCAGTGAGGAGCAGGGGTGCGGTGGGGACAATAAGGGAACACTGTATCAACATACGGGGTCCCAGACTTTTCAACATCTTACCAGAAGGTATCAGAAACACTGCTGGAACAAGTGTTGAAGCCCTCAAGAGGAAACTAGACAAGTATCTTCACCAGGTGCCAGATCAACCAGACTGTGATGGATATGTGGGGCAGCGGGCCTCCAGCAGCAACAGCCTAGTTGACCAGGCAAGCATCAGTCGAGTCTGGCCCATGGCCGGGCTCAGAGAGTAGATAAACTCTCGAAACTCTTGAAAGGTATATCAAAGGTGGTGTGAGAGATTTGAAAGCAAGTGTAAAATAAACCCAGTGAAAGGCAGGGGTGCAGTGGGCACAATAAGGGAACACTGTATCAACATTCGTGACCCCAGAGTATTCTACATCTTACCAGAAGATATCAGAAAGACAGCTGGAATAAATGTAGAAGCTGAAAATTGAGAAACTTATGCAACATATGGGAATCTTGATTTAGGAAACGTTTCGCCACACAGTGGCTTCATCAGTCCAATACAAAGCAGAAAGTTGTAAGGAGAGGAGGAGTTTGAGGTAATCAGTCCCTCAGCCTCTCCTTACACCTTTCTGCTTTGTATTGGACTGATGAAGCCACTGTGTGGCGAAACGTTTCCTAAATCAAGATTCCCATATGTTGCATAAGTTTCTCAATTTTCAACTTGTCGGTTTTCAAAAACATTCATCACAAGTGATGAAGTCTTGAAGAGGAACCTGGACAAGTATCTTCACCAGGTGCCAGATCAACCAGGTTGTGATGGATATGTGGGACGCCAGGGAACACTATCTTGCAACACCAGGGAATACAATATCTTGTAACACCAGGGAACACTGTATCTTGCAACGCCAGAGAATACAATATCTTGCAACACCAGGGAACATTGTATCTTACAACACCAGGGAACATTGTATCTTGCAACTCCAGGGAACACAGTATCTTGCAACACCAGGGAACATTGTATCTTACAACACCAGGGAACATTGTATCTTGCAACACCAGGGAACACAGTATCTTGCAACACCAGGGAACATTGTATCTTACAACACCAGGGAACATTGTATCTTGCAACACCAGGGAACACAGTATCTTGCAACACCAGGGAACACAGTATCTTGCAACACCAGGGAATACAATATCTTGTAACACCAGGGAACACAGTATCTTGCAACACCAGGGAACACAGTATCTTGCAACACCAGGGAACACAGTATCTTGCAACACCAGGGAATACAATATCTTATAACACCAGGGAACACTGTATCTTGCAACACCAGATAATACAATATCTTGCAACACCAGGGAACATTGTATCTTACAACACCAGGGAACATTGTATCTTGCAACACCAAGGAACACAGTATCTTGCAACACCAGGGAACACAGTATCTTGCAACACCAGGGAACACAGTATCTTGCAACACCAGGGAACACAGTATCTTGCAACACCAGGGAACACAGTATCTTGCAACACCAGGGAACACAGTAACTTGCAACACCAGGGAACACCGTAACTTGCAACACCAGGGAACACAGTAACTTGCAACACCAGGGAACACAGTAACTTGCAACACCAGGGAACACAGTAACTTGCAACACCAGGGAACACAGTAACTTGCAACACCAGGTAACACAGTATCTTGCAACACCAAGGAACACAGTATCTTGCAACACCAGGGAACACAGTATCTTGCAACACCAAGGAACACAGTATCTTGCAACACCAGGGAACAGAGTATATTGCAACACCAGAGAACACAGTATCTTGCAACACCAGGGAACACAGTATCTTGCAACACCAGGGAACACAGTATCTTGCAACACCAGGGAACACAGTATCTTGCAACACCAGGGAACACAGTATCTTGCAACACCAGGGAACACAGTATCTTGCAACACCAGGGAACACAGTAACTTGCAACACCAGGGAACACAGTATCTTGCAACACCAAGGAACACAGTATCTTGCAACACCAGGGAACACAGTAACTTGCAACACCAGGGAACACAGTGTCTTGCAACACCAGGGAACACAGTAACTTGCAACACCAGGGAACACAGTATCTTGCAACACCAGGGAACACAGTATCTTGCAACACCAAGGAACACAGTATCTTGCAACACCAGGGAACACAGTATCTTGCAACACCAGGGAACACAGTATCTTGCAACACCAGGGAACACAGTAACTTGCAACACCAGGGAACACAGTATCTTGCAACACCAGGGAACACAGTATCTTGCA